GAGGTGGGTAGGGGGTGGAACCAAGGGATGTTGCTCGGAGGTGGGTAGGGGCGGAGACAAGGAGTAACTCAGAAAGGGGGAGTACCTGGACCTATTTTCTGAGAAAAAAGGTCTGGGCAGCAATATGTTCTTTCTTCTTCTTATCTGAATGAAGCAAGGTTCAAATCTATACAGCCACCTAACCTATACCTGTACTAGGGAGACGTCAACTGGATCCAGGGGCGGACTGACCATTTGGAAACTTGGGCACAGCCCGAGGGCCCGGGGTCAGTAGGGGGCCTCATGAGATGCCCCTGGTACCTTTTTTTTCATAGGTTTTTTGAGTTTGGGCAAGGACACAGGGGCCCCATGATCCCCTATTGCCCGAGGGCCCCATGAGTTGTCAGTCCGCCCCTGTCTGGATCTCATTGTTTGAGCTGCTCACAACCAGACTTCTCCTTGTGCTATTTTCATTAAAGCTGAAGTTTAATCAGCTTCTATTTTGTCTTCCTGGCTCCTCCTTATACACCTCATCAACATGCTAATGAAATCTTACAATACAACCTTTCCATTTTCACTTCATAGCTTATTTTAGATGCAGCGACACCACCACTGGGTCTCTGTGCTTATCTATGCAGTGCAGGCAGATCACGGCTGATGGGAGGGACCAGCAGGGTACTGTACATAGCTTCCTGAAAACATCACAGCACCATGCATAACTACTCCTCTCAAGGGGGCCTAAGCCTTGATGTAAGCATTGGGTTGGCTTTTGGGAGGAGTTATGTAAATGACAAAATGCAGTACAGGGTGGATGTCAGTCTGGAGGAGTGGGTGTCCTTAGGAAGGTGACATTTGCATGCAGGGCACCCTAGGTAATGCTCGCATGTGATGCTGGGTCTCCATGTTCGAACTGAGATCTACAGAGTAGGGGGCCCAGGGGTGCTTGGTGTAGTTCCACAACATGGCCACTAGATGTCGCCAAAATTAGGGTTGGGAAGTGTAGGCAGTGGAGGTGCCCAAGGCAAGCCATAGAGTATGTGATTCCCCCAACAACAACACCCCCCCCCCCATGCGGAACTATTTTTTTTCCTGAAGGGGGGGCATAGGGAGTCTTCTCAGTTGGGAGAACACTGTGATGATTGATAAAGGGTATATCTGCTGGCAATAATTGCATGTTAAAATATGACATGCAGGTCGATGGATCTTCTTGGTCACGATCAGCCTGCCCATGGATATTTAGAATATCGGCTGGTCCCTGCTGAACCGGCTGTGATTCTGTCTATGGGCGGCTTATGGAAGCTGCTAGAGATCCCCAGAGTAGTGACTGGTGAGTACCATAGTAGTGCCATCCCTGCCCATGCCAGTGTGGGGCTTCTTAGGTAAGAAAGTGGGAGTCCACCTGGTTTTTGGTCATAGGAAGCAGTGCAAGGACAAAGCCATGCAAAGATCTAAGTTTTGAGGCATCATCACGGGGTCTCTGTGCTTCTCTGTGCAATGCACGCAGATCATGGCTAGTGGGAGGGGCCAGATGGGTGCTGTACATGGCCTCCTGCAAATATCACAGCACCCTCGGTACTCCTCTCAAGAACCTTCAACCTTGACACAAGAAGTAAGCTGGCTCTTGGGTTATGCAAATATTAACATGCTAATCACATTTTTTTTAATAAAGCCTTTCCATTTTTACTGCCTATCTTATTGTAGGTCCAGTGATGTCATCACTGGGTCTCTTTGCTTCCCTATGCAAGGCAGGCAGTTCATGGGGGTGGGAAGGGCCGGCAGGCTGCTGTACGTAGCTTCCTGAAAACATCACAGCGCCCGGCCTCAGTACTCCTCTTAAGAGCCTCCAGCCCTGATGCAAGCAGTGGGCCGGCTCTTGGGAGGAGTTATGCCAATGTGAAAATGCCAGTCCAGCAGTGGGCTGGCTCTTGGGAGGAGTTATCCAAATATGAATATGCCTTGATTGGTGGGTGTCTTTCTGGAGTGGCGTGGGTGGGCCCAGATGTTCTTGGTGTACTTCCCTAAATTAGCCACTAGATGACCCCAAAGGTAGGGTTGGGAAGAGTAGGCAGTGGAGGTATGTAGTGATTGGGGTGTACCATGGATAGGGAGGTGGTGCCAGAACTGCCCCTGCCAGTGCAGCAGTGGGCTGGCTCTTGGGAGGAGTTATGCAAATATGAAAATACCTTGATGGGTGGATGTCATTCTGGAGTGGTGGGTGTTCTTAGGCAGACGACATTTGCATGCAGACCACCCTGCCGAATTCTCAGGGATGTTGACCCTCCTTGACTAAACTGAAATGTACAGGGTAGGGGCCCAGATGTTCCTGGTGTAGTTCCCTAAATTAGCCACTATATGTCCCCAAAGTTAGGGGTGGGAAGAGTAGGCAGTGGAGGTACTTAGGTAGGCACTAGAGCTGCCCAGAGTAGTGATTGGGGTATACCATGGATCATGGATAGGGAGGTGGTGCCAGTGAAGCAGTGGGCTGGCTCTTGGAAGGAGTTATCCAAATATGAAAATGCCTTGATTGGTGGGTGTCATTCTGGAGTGGTGGGTGTTCTTAGGCAGACGGCATTTGCATGCAGACCACCCTGCCTAATTCTCAGGGATGTTGACCCTCCTTGACTAAACTGAAAAGTACAGGGTAGGGGGCCCCGATGTTCCTGGTGTAGTTCCCTATATTGGCCATTAGATGTCCCCACAGTTAGGGGTGGGAAGAGTAGGCAGTGGGGGTACTTAGGTAGGCTCTAGGGCTGCCCAGAGTAGTGATTGGGGTGTACCATGGATAGGGAGGTGGTGCCAGAACTGCCCCTGCCAGTGCAGCAGTGGGCTGGCTCTTGGGAGGAGTTATGCAAATATGAAAATGCCTTGATTGGTGGGTGTCATTCTGGAGGGGTGGGTGCAGGGGCGGACTGATGTTCATTGGGAAACTCGGGCACTGCCCGAGGGCCCGGGGTCAGTAGGGGGCCCCATGAGATGCCCCTGGTACTTTTTTCATAGGCTTTTTTGAGTTTGGGCAAGGACACACGGCCCCATGATCCCCTATTGCCCGGGGGCCCCATGGTGTGTTCAGTCCGCCCTTGGGTGGGTGTTCTTAGGCAGATGGCATTTGCATGCAGACCACCCTGCTTAATTCTCAGGGATGTTGAGCCTCCTTGACTAAACTGAAATGTACAGGGTAGGGGCCCCGATGTTCCTGGTGTAGTTCCCTAAATTAGCCACTAGATGTCCTCAAAGGTAGGGGTGGGAAGAGTAGGCAGTGGAGGTACTTAGGTAGGCACTAGAGCTGCCCAGAGTAGTGATTGGGGTGTACCATGGATAGGGAGGTGGTGCCAGTGAAGCAGTGGGCTGGCTCTTGGGAGGAGTTATGCAAATATGAAAATGTCTTAATGGGTGAGTGTCATTCTGGAGTGGTGGGTGTTCTTAGGCAGATGGCATTTGCATACAGACCACCCTGGCTAATTCTCAGGGATGTTGAGCCTCCTTGACTAAACTGTAATGTACAGGGTAGGGGCCCCGATGTTCCTGGTGTAGTTCCCTAAATTAGCCACTAGATGTCCCCAAAGGTAGGGTTGGGAACAGTAGAAAGTGGAGGTACTTAGGTAGGCACTAGAGCTGCCCAGAGTAGTGATTGGGGTGACACCTGTGACACCCTATGACACCTGTGCAAGACTAAAGGGGAGGATTTAGGCAGAAAACCAAATTCTTTATATCTAGTTCACCTGCTTAGCGGTTTGGGCGGAGTTACCTCTTAACCCCTGCATGTCAGGAGACGCTGCTTGTCTCGGCAGCTGGGGGATTGTAGTGTAATGGGGCCGGCTGGTCTCATCATAATGCAGAGCCGATCTAGGAGGATAAAACACAGATACCCGACTGCGAGCAACAGACATGAAAGGAAAACAAAAAAAAGAAGCCGAGGGAAAATAAATAAATAAATAAAACGGCTAATTGAGCTGGCTGCGGATGTCGTGTTTAATGTAGAGCCCTCGGCTCCCTGGGAAGGGGGGGGAGGGGAGGCCCGCCAGGACGCTGATCAATATCAGAAAAATAAGAAGATATTTTCTCGGGGTCGCGGAAATGTCTTGTAATTACAGCGGCCAGTCGCTGGTCCCCGCATTGTTCACTCCGGGGGAATGTCAGGTCGGCTCTGCAGAGACTGGCACAGGCTTGTATGCCCCCACCCCACTTAAAGGGAACCAGCCACTACTGGACTGGAAATATTCATTTTTAAAGCCGACATCCAGCCTTTTATTTCAGTCTTGCACAGATGAAAAAGTGACTGACACAAAGCCCAATGAAAGGCTGTGGGAGCTTTAAATCCTCCCTCCGGCCTTCCCTTCAGTCTTGCACAGGTGTGCCGACTCCTCCCCTTCAGTCTTGCACAGGTGTACCGGCTTCTCCCCTTCAGTCTTGCACAGGTGTACCGACTCCTCCCCTTCAGTCTTGCACAGGTGTACCGGCTCCTCCCCTTCAGTCTTGCACAGGTGTACCAGCTTCTCCCCTTCAGTCTTGCACAGGTGTACCTGCTCCTCCCCTTCAGTCTTGCACAGGTGTGCCGGCTCTCCCCTTCAGTCTTGCACAGGTGTACGGGCTCCTCCCCTTCAGTCTTGCACAGGTGTACCGGCTCCTCCCCTTCAGTCTTGTACAATTGTACCTACTCCTCCCCTTCAGTCTTGCACAGGTGTACCGGCTCCTCCCCTTCAGTCTTGCACAGGTGTGCCGGCTCCTCCCCTTCAGTCTTGCACAGGTGTGCCGGCTCCTCCCCTTCAGTCTTGCACAGGTGTACGGGCTCCTCCCCTTCAGTCTTGCACAGGTGTGCCGGCTCCTCCCCTTCAGTCTTGCAAAGGTGTGCCGGCTCCTCCCCTTCAGTCTTGCACAGGTGTACGGGCTCCTCCCCTTCAGTCTTGCACAGGGTACCGGCTCCTCCCCTTCAGTCTTGCACAGGTGTACCGGCTCCTCCCCTTCAGTCTTGCACAGGTGTACCGGCTCCTCCCCTTCAGTCTTGCACAGGTGTGCCGGCTCCTCCCTTTAGTCTTGCACAGGTGTACGGGCTCCTCCCCTTCAGTCTTGCACAGGTGTACCGGCTCCTCCCCTTCAGTCTTGCACAGGTGTACGGCTCCTCCCCTTCAGTCTTGCACAGGTGTGCCGGCTCTCCCTTTCAGTCTTGCACAGGTGTACGGGCTCCTCCCCTTCAGTCTTGCACAGGTGTACCGGCTCCTCCCCTTCAGTCTTGCACAGGTGTGCCGGCTCCTCCCCTTCAGTCTTGCACAGGTGTGCCGGCTCCTCCCTCTTCAGTCTTGCACAGGTGTACGGGCTCCTCCCCTTCAGTCTTGCACAGGTGTACCAATGTCAGTCTTCAGATGTGACTGAAGACTGACATTGAATGAGAAGCAGCAAAGTGAAGAGCTCTGTCTTCTCCCACAGTGCTGCTTTTCCACCACTAGATGTCCCCCAGTTTTCTGGGTTAAATGACAGCCAGCTTCATACATCCCTCGTCCTCTGAGCTCAGGTTGTCATGGATCTGCCCTTAGCCTGTGATTGGACAGTGAATTAGAAGCATTCCAGTAATAAGCTCAATTGTCTCCCACAGTACCTCTATTCCACCAGTAACTGTCCCCAGTCTTCTGGGAGAATGACAGCCAGCTTCATATATTCCACACCCACTGAGCTCAGGCTCAGGCTGGGAGGAGCTGGTACAACTGTGCAAGACTGAAGGGGAGGAGCCGGTACAGCTGTGCAAGACTGAAGGGGAGGAGCCGGTACAACTGGGCAAGACTGAAGGGGAGGAGCCGGTACACCTGTACAAGACTGAAGGGGAGGAGCCAGTACACCTGTGCAAGGCTGAAGGGGAGGAGCCGGTACACCTGTACTAGACTGGAGGGAAGGTTGGATTTAAAGCTCCCACAGCCTTTCATCGGGCATTGTGTCAGTCACTTTTTCAACTTTGCAAGACCAAAGGGAAGGATGGAGGTCACATTTAACAGAAAGGAGCCGCAGTTTCAGAAACTGACACCCTCTGGACATCTGTGGGTTATAATATTTGACGACCAACTTTGGTATTAAAAGTCGGACAATTTCCTGGAAGTCGTTCTGCCTGATCCCGTATAATCTGTAGGGGGGGGGAGGGGGCGGTGCGCTGGTCCCAGCTGGAGGTCGGACACTGTGCAGATCACCCGCCACCCTCCCTCCTGTCACCACCGCGCCGAACGTGACTTGTGATCCCGGCATCCCAGCGCCGCAGCCTAATAGATTGTTCCACGCCGCCAAATGACACGGACAATCAGGCCGCCTTGCACCTGTCATCACAATCCAGGATCGCACTGTAGAGGGGATCATTCTCTGTGTATTAGTATTTACTATACCAAAACCCAAAAAAGGCCAAATGTAATAGAGACGTGCAAAGTGTGGGGGGGGGGGGGGGAAAGACACTGGTGCGACATGTCATGTGACTTGACAGATCAAAGTCACATGACAAGTCACACTCTATTTGCAGCTATGAAACTGTGCAGATGGGTGCGACTCAGACTTTGGAAAAGGTTCCTGCACTACTTTTTTTTTGTTTTGCAATTTCAAGTGCAACTAGCAATGACACCTGTGCATGAAATCGCACAGATGCTGGCGCACTGTACATGCATTTGCGCTGATTAGCGGCTTTGAAGTAGTGCGATTTCAAAGCCGCATGCGGTGTGAACCTGGGATGACAGCCACAACAGGGGCGGACTGACCATTTGGAAACTTGGGCACTGCCCGAGGGCCCGGGGTCAGTAGGGGGCCCCATGAGATGCCCCTGGTACCTTTTTCGTAGGCTTTTTTGAGTTTAGGCAAGGACACAGGGGCCCCATGATCCCCTATTGCCCGGGGGCCCCATGAGTTGTCAGTCCGCCCCTGAGCCACAATCAGCCCAGAGAGGCCTCCTGCACATTGTACTGATGTCTGAGCATTAGACATTCCCCGCAGATACAAAAAACAAAACAAACCACGAGGATGGGCTGCATAGCACTTGTGCGTATTGGTGAGTATGCAGTCACAAGCGTACAATTTTTTCTATTATTATTATTTCTATTATATGTATTTTAAGGCTTCCTTCACACGGCTGTAAAAAATTTTACTGATGTTATGACACGTATTTTCTACAAGAAAAGTTCCTGCGTAATGATCAAGAATACACTGCACTATATTGCCAAAGGTATTGGCCCCGCCCCTCCCAATCATGTGATTTAGGTGTTCCAATCCCCTCCATGGCCACAGGTGTATACAATCAAGCCCCTAGGCATGCAGACGGATTCTACAAACATTGGTGAAAGAATGGGTTGCTCTCAGGAGCTCAGTGACTCCAAGCGTGGTCCAGTGATAGGTGGCCACCTGGGCAATAAGTCCATCCGTGACATTTCCTGGCTACTAAATATTCCACGCTCAACTGTTAGTGGGATTATAACAAAGTGGAAGCAACTGGGAACAACAGCAACTCAGCCACCAAGTGGTAGGCCACGTCACATGGCAGGGCGGGGCCAGCGCATGCTGAAGCGCACAGTGTGCAGAAGTCGCCAACTGTCTGCAGAGTCAACAGCTAAAGACCTCCAAACATGGTGTGGCCTTCAGATGAGCCCAACAACAGTGCATAGAGAGCTTCATGGAATGGGTTTTCATGGCCGAGCAGCTGGACTCTAGAGCAGTGATGTGTTCTCTGGAGTGACCAATCACGCCTCTCTGTCTGGCAATCTGATGGACGTGTCTGGGTTTGGCGGTTACCAGGAGAACAGTACTTACCTGACTGCATTATGCCAAGTGTAAAGATTGGTGGAGGTGGAATTATGGTGTGGGGGTGTTTTTCAGAGGTTGGGCTTGGCCCCCTAATTCCATTGAAGGGAAGTCTTAAGGCATCAGCATACCAAGACATTTTGGCCAATTTCATGCTCCCAACTTTATGGGAAGAGTTTGGGGATGGCCCCTTCCTGTTCCAACATGACTGCACACCAGTGCACAAAGCAAGGCCCATAAAGACATGGAGGAGCCAGTTTGGGGTGGAGGAACTTGACTGGCCTGCACAGAGTCCTGACCTCAACCCCATAGAACACCTTTGGGATGAATTAGAGCGGAGACAGCGAGCCAGGCCTCCTCCCCCGACATCAGTGCCTGACCTGACAAATGTGCTTCTGGAAGAATGGTCCAACCTTCCCATAGACACCCTCCTAAACCTTGTGGACGGCCTTCCCAGAAGAGTTGAAGCTGTTATAGCTGAAAAGGGCGGGGCCAACTCAATATTGAACCCTACGGACTAAGACTGGGATGCCATTAAAGTTCATGTGCGTGGAAAGGCCGGTGGCCCAATACTTTTGGCAATATAGTGTAGATTAAATGTGTGTAAATGCGTAAAGACACGTATTACATAACGATCATTTATTTTCCCCTTTGTTTAGCCTTATTTTACGCACTTACAAACAGGAAAAATAAGTTATCATAAAAACAAAATGTATACACATACAAATCCATAAAAAAACACACGATACAAATGTTATAAATTGAGTTGCAATTCAATAAATAAAATAAGTATTTGATCCCCGAGTTAAACATGACTTAGTACTTGGTGGAGAATCCCTTCTTGGCAAGCACAGAGGTCAGACGTTTCTGGTAGTTGGTTCCCAGTTTTGCACACATCTCAGGAGGGATTTTGGTCCACTTTTCTTTACAGATCTTCTCTAAATCCTTAATGTTTCTTGGCTGTCACTTAGCAACTTGAAGTTTCAGCTCCCTCCAGAAATTTTCTATAGGATTAAGGTCTGGAGACTGGCTAGTCCACTCCATGGCCCTAATGTGCTTCTTGAGCCTCTCCTTTGTTGCCTTGGTGGCATGTTTTGGGTCATTGTCATGCTGGAAGACCCATCCATGACCCATCTTCAGTGTTGTGGCTGAGGGAAGAAGGTTCTTATCCAAGATTTTACAATACATGGCCCGTCCATTGGCCCCTCAATGTGGCAAAGTCGGCCTCATTGGCAGAGAAACAGCCCCAAGGAATATTATTTCCACCTTCATGCTTGACTGTAGGGATGGTGTTCTTAGGGTCATAGTCAGCATTTTTCTTCCTCCACACACAGCGAGTCAAGTTAATGCCAAAGAGTTCAATTTTAGTCTCATCTGACCACAGCACTTTCTCCCAATCCTTCTCTGAATCATTTAGATGTTCATTGGCAAACTTCAGACTGGCGTATACATGTGCCTTCTTGAGGAGAGGGACCTTGCAGGCACTGCAGGATTTCAATCCATGGTGGCGTATTGTGTTACCAATGGTTTGTTTGGTGACTGAGATCATTCACAAGCTCCTCCCATGTAGTTCTGGCCTCATCCCTCACTTTTCTCATGATCATCCTTACCCCATGGGGTGAAATCTTGCATGGAGCTCCAGACTGAGGGCGATTGATGGTTATTTTGTATTTCTTCCATTTGCCAATAATCGCTCCAACAGTTGTCTCCATCTCACCAAGCTTCTTCTGATGGTCTTGTAACCCACCCCATCCCTGGTTCAGTCTACATTTATGTCCCTGCCATCCTTTGACAGCTCATTGGTCTTGCCCATGGTGGAGAGGTTTGAATGGAAGAGATTCTGTGGACAGGTGTCTTTTATACACATAACAAGTTGTCATTAGGAGCACCTTCTTACATTGACAGGACTGATCCGTGTACCACATGAGAACATAGCCAGGCTGTGGGAGCCAGAATCATTGTTGGTTGGTAGGGGATCAAATACTTATTTTACTCACTGAACTGCAACTCCATCTATAACATTTGTATCGTGTTTTTTCTGGATTTTTGGTTGATATTCTGTCTCTGTCAATTAAAATACACCTAGGATAAAAATGATAGACCCTTCACTTCTTTGTAAGTGGGCAAACAAAATCTGCAGGGGATCAAATCATTATTTTCCCTACAGTATGGCATATGTGCCTTCGGCAACTCATATTTGTTTGGGGTTTTTTCACTGATCTATATGCAGCACACGCTTACACACCTGTTGTCACGATCAGGGGTCAGGCTCCAAGACCTGTTGCTATAGCAGTGGAAAGGCTCACCTGAAACCAGCAGGAGAGGTACTGTCAGGGACCATCGCGTCGCATGGGTCTACACATGCGTAGGTGTCTGTCAAGACGTGCAGGTAGCAGGGCACTAGGACCCAGGCGCACCTGTCGTCTTGACATTACTAGGCAGGCACTGGGACCTAGGCGGCGCCTGTCAGGTACAGGGCGGGCTACTTAAACCAGCCTTGCACAGACACTTGTTGCCGAATGGTCTTTTGTATCCTGTTGCCTGTGTAGTAAGTACTCTGATCTGGATTGTCTGACCTTGTTGCCTTCTCCTGTCCTGACCCCTTGGCTTGCCTGTCTCTGCTCCTGGATGTTCCCTTATAGATCTGATCTTTTGGTATTGACCCTGCGTGTGACCCGACTATCCTTTGCCTATCGTCTTGTACCTCACCGACCCGGCTTGTTTGACTCTGACTTTGCTCATCCGTCCATCCATCCCTCAGGGATCCCCGGGCTCCCTCACATC